TTGTTGCCACAACAAATACACGTTTGCGTATTTGTTTCGGTGTAATGCAGTTTGATCAATACTTATAATTGTGAATATGTAGTCGTCAGTTTTTGACATTTATATTTTGATACAGCGGATTTTAAAATAAATTATTAAAGAAAATGGTGAGTCGTTTAAAATATAACAAAGAAGAAAATAGCTATTATCTTTTCTTATTATTTTCAGCCACCCAAAGGAGGAAAGAAGAAAGGTAAACAGAAAATTAAATTATTTACACTTGTCTTTTCTACTTACTTGAAGAAGGAAAAAATATTTAATTAATAAACTATCACAGGAGTTATTATCGATGGGGTGGATACTACGCAGATGACCAGGGAGCAAATAGAAGTGCTGGCCTTGAAGATAAAAGAAGAAAATGAAAGAGAACGGGAAGAAAGGAATTTCTTTCAACTCGAAAGAGACAAACTGCGAACCTTCTGGGAAATCACCAGGACTGAATTGGAAGAAGCACGGGCACAATTAAGGTAAGTTACCACAACGTAAGCACAACAAAATGGAAAAAGAAATTGTTGAGACCCTTGTTACCTTGCATCCCTATAAACAACACGCCTCAAAGGAATTCTATTTCAGTGTATCATATATAAATTATAAATGCAATTTGTATGAACGTTTTGAAGTGGTGAATAAAATTAACCGAATTCTGATCATGTATGAGTTGGAGTCGTGTACCGGCACTGCAGTTTACTGCTGTGTAGTAGGGGAGACCGGGGATGGTTGACTAGTTTTTTACTGAATAGTTCATATTTTTTGTGTTTTAATGAATATAGACAAGAAAAGCATGTTAATTGATAGAAAATCTATTAACCTAATAAAAATATGTAATATTTAGTTCTTAGTTTAGTATAATAGTGATGATTTAATGCATTTTACAAAATATTAAATCTTAGTCAATCTACCCCTGGCCCGGGGTAGGTAGAACATATGCCCGGGGTACGTTGACTCATGCACCAATAAGAGTCAAATCATGAGGAGCAAATAATTAAACATTTTTTTAATATAATTAAGCCTTTCGTTAAAAAATAAACAACTTAAATCAGGTATACAAGCATTTCTTACAATGTTATCGTAAACAGTGGTCAAGTTAGCGAAGAATAAATTAACGTTGCTTTTGTTAAATGATGTAGTTCTCGATAGGCTTGTTGCTTGAGGTGATTGGATTGATAGAGAAGGATGACATTTAAGAAAAGAGCCGAACCAGTCTTCATCAGCTAACAATTTTTCTCTCCAAGAATTAGGCATAACTTATTTTTTTGCGAACTCATTTTCGAGTCTCATATGGCGTCAAGTCATAATAAATATCTGCTGCCTTCTTTAAATACCTGGCTAAAGCTTCCTCTTCTACATTAGTAAAAATTTGTCTATTTCTTACATATCCCACTGTGTCCAGGGTTAATTCTGCTCTCGTCAATTTCGGATTCTGTTCTAATTTTTCTTTTAATTTGGCCACGTAACGATTTAAAAGTCCAATATAAAGTTAATTTACGTATTGTTTTCAACTACATATTTCATTGGGGAAGAAATTATTCTACCAACCCCAGGCGCCATTTTTAATTTTGATCGCATGGCTAGCCTAAACACTGCCGTTGACTTGAAAAATAAGATACGAAATGTGATAAATGTGCCCTCATTGAACGCTAGGACTAATAGAAAAATGATTTACATAAAACGAGTAGGCATCAGATCAAAAAATATAATATATCAAAATATTACTTATGTGACTACTGAAATATGAAAAACATGTCACTGTTCGAAAACAACGCACGACCGCAATGTGGCGCTTCAGACAACTGAGCGGGACGCGAAATGTAATGCTTAGCTATGATTAGATGACATAGTTCATACACTGTCGACAAATTTTCGGTAGTTAGTCTACCTGCCCCTATAGTCAACCATCCCCGATCTCCCCTATATAAAGGCACGCTTGCTAGCTATTTGTCTGTAAGACGCTAATATAAGAAGCGCGACTGGAAGAAAGACAGCAATAGTCAGTGAGAATGTATACACTTAATAAAAAAAAAATTTTCTTTGGTGCAATTTATTAAATATGGTTAATTAAATACACATGAAACATTAGCTTCTAAAAAAAAAAACAATATTTTTTAATAACTTTTTGATGCATAGAAAACAGCGATTTTCATGTACTATATTTCGAGTTTCAAAAATTCATAATACGGAAAATAGTAACTTTACAAAAAAAAACTTCAGACCTTTTATATTGAGACTAAATCAAAGAATATAAAAGAAAATACAACATGTAATTATACAACACGCTACTGAAGTGAAACTTCCTCAAACACACAAACATACCGGGACAGGGGTTAAGGAATTGGTTTAATGGTATTATTTGTACACTATGAATTTAAATTTTACACTATACATGCCGGAGTTGCCTGTAACGAACGTTGCATTGAAGCGCGCTCGCGGCTCAAGCGATCCCCACTACGAACTCGACTACGTG